GAAATACATTTTTCAACTAACGTAAAGAATTTTATAATTTTTTATTTAAAAATGCAGATTATTTATAAAATACATTCAATAGAAAAGTATAACAATTTTGAAAAAAAATTTTAAATAAAATATGATCTCTCGTAACTTGATGTAATCTCTTTGTTATGATCTTATGTAATGTACTAATAATACTTAATGATATACATTAAGTATTATTAGTTATTTACAAATATAATAATACACAGAAAAAAATTTTCTCTGCCGCTAATTTTGGTTTGTTATAATATATTTGCTGCTGTAACTATAAATTTATAAACTCCAGCGAAATGGTTTGCTATTGCTGCTATAATATAGATATCACAGCTAAGACATTAACTATGACATCTATATTTTAACTGTCCACATTTTACACCTGCCATTTAGTTACCACATTTTACACCTGCCATTTAGTTACACGTACAGTTTTTAGTTACGACAGCTACTTTCTTTTTTCCGTGTATGTTGTTCATTAATAATTATAAAAAAAAGTTTATCTATAAAAATTTAATTGCGATAAAAATAAATATATTGTAAGATATTATAAAATATTATAAAAATTTTTAATATCCATCGACTCCTGCGATCAATTCTACTTCGAGATTCATACTTGCAGGGCAAGATGTATCGCAAGTTCGAAAAAGGCGTTAGGCAACGATCATCGCGATAACGAATCCTTACACGTTCAATGATATGACGTAAGACATTTTATTTTTGAGAAATATTACTATTTCATTTTATTTCAATTGGAAATATTTTCCTCACAATGTGCTTTATCGTTTGATATCGCCGAGACGGCTTCGCTGTCTTAGAGTCTCTCTTTTTCTTGAGGGCACTACCACATTTATTATATATACATATATATATATTACATATATTTTTTTCTTTTTTTAAATTTAATTTTCTGTAATCCTTAAAGTCATAAAATCTTTCTTTTCTCGGACGTTTGGATTTTCAAGCTCATCCAGCGATCCCTTCTCGTCGTTGTACGTGGGATCTCGTACGACTCTTTCGAGCGCTTGGATTCGCGTGGACCCTCTGGGATCGGGATTTTAAACCTCTCGAGATCGGATCTTCAGACGTGCTCGCACTAGAGTTGTCTGTTATCTCAAAGTCGGCATGGAATACTTTTGGATCCCTTCCGATCTCTCTGATCTTCGGTTATTGCCCGCTCAAGGTACTCGTGTTGCTCGATATATTATACATATATATGTGTATACTTGATCGATCCGGCGATCAGTAATCAATATATAACATTACAATTAATGATCGATGCTCTCAACAAATAATATATAGAGATTATAATTTCTTTAATTTTTGATCTATACTTTTATGGATGTATATATATCTCTTACATATATCTATATATCTATTTACGTCTTAATTCCGAATCAATTAACTACCTAAACAATTACGATTGTCTTCGCCAGCGGAACGTAGCGAGCGTTACATCGATTCGATAGTCACGATTAGGCGGTGCCCATGCATGCCCGCTATTCAGTCATTCTCTATCGATCGCAAAGTGACATAGATCGATCTGTCACGATCTCAGTCACCTTCCCTCCCTTTACTCAGTTTGTACTTGTTCCGAGCGTGCTCATTGGTCGTTGCCCACTAAGCCGTGGTGGGCGGATATGACGGCGGCAGGGGAGGGGGGGAAGGTAAATATATTGTGGGGGTTGGCGGGCTTGAGGGTGAGTATTCAAGGCCCTGCTATGTCGCGCCCTTACGTTCCCATTTTACGCCGGACGAGGACCCTCTGCAAAAACACGAAAAACACGCCAACTTCATCTGGAGTCATCTCAAGCGGAACAAGCCATATACGACACGATATTCCTGGAATGTCATATGAATATTAAAAAGGGTAAATATTATTCATGCAACATTCTAGGAATATCGTGTGCTTATAAGAAGGATGCTTTTCATTTGGTGACACAAATTGATTCAAATGTCGTTCTGCCTTTGTTATTTACTTATTAGAAGATAAAAATATTTTGACTTTTTCTTTACTTGGTGTGTATTTGCGTCACTTTTGCGTCAAACGGGGAAAAAAAGCTACGATGACATCAAATGGCGTCAGACGGTTGAAAACAATCATTAAAAGTGACTTTTTCATTAATCACGTCTCATGATTTGTTGTTCCGCTTAGGATTCATTTGGTCATCCCCTCATTAATTTAGATCCTCCACGCGGCGCCGGCGTCGCGATGAGAGAGCTACGAAAGACCCCTCTCGAGAACGATAGAGGAGGGCTAAAAAAACCCCCGGCTTGCCTTCGCGCGAGCGCGCGTGCGAGCGCGCGAGGAAAGTCGCTCGTCGCCGGAATCGATCGGGCGTTTTCTCTCTCTCGCGAATTCCGCGCGCGCGCTTTTTACGCACAAGTGTTTCGAGGTGGCATCTCTCGACTGATACGTATCGATCTCTCTCTTCCTTTTTTCTTCCGCTCTCCAGCGGACCTGGGTGGGTTGACGCGGGTCCGAAATTTATATATACGTATAATGTATTTCGAAACGCGAAATGCGAGACGCACCGAGTGTCGTGTCGCTATGCGAAGGCTCGGGGACGTGAACTTTTGACCCGAGCCAACACGTGGCTGAATGTCGCCACCAGTCGCTATTGTTTTCCGGGGCCGGGCTCGGTATCTCAAACCGCCGTCGGCACTCGTCGGAAATACTCCAGAATCAACGCGAGTATAATCAAATTCAATTGCGCGATAAGAGCACGAAGCAACAGTGCCACAATAAGAACGCGCGGCGTAAGTTGGACGCGTGTCGGAATCGAGGACTGACATTAATGAGTTGCGACCGAATTGAATCCGGAATTGTCATCGAGATTGGGAGATAGATGAGCCGCCGAGATTAATAGCGTTAATTAATCAATTATAGGGATTCGACGCGTCGAGATGATTAGTTCAAGTAGAACACGGAAGTTATATTAGTATATCACAGATATCTCTCTCTCTCTCTCTCTCTCTCTCTCTCTTATCATTAATCTCCTTATTTATCACTTATAAATTTACTTTTATCCAAGGAACATCAAGTAAAGAAAATGTCAAAATGATTTTATTATTTTGACGTCATGAAAATCAAAATAATGATTTTTGATTACAAAATTTGACTGTTTATTATTTATTGATGTTAACAATCAAAACAACTTTATTTTGATTCTTATAAATATCAAGAGACAGTCAAATTTTGTACCCAAAAATCATCAGTTTAATTTCCATGACGTCAAAATAAAATCGTTTTGACTTTCTCTTTACTGTGTGTTCCTTAGGCTCGGTGCCTTCTATTTAGTGACACAATTCTATCTTTCTTGACACTCAGAGAGTAAAGTAGACATTGTGTCGACTTGTGTCACTAAATGAAAAGCACCCATTATGACTTAATTATGACTCTGTTCTACCTCGGAGGCGAGAAAGAGAGATTGCAGCGTGTGATACCCGTACAGCATTATAGACCTCCAAGGAAGTTCTAAAGATGTCCGGAGGATGCTCCTAAGAACGTTCACAATAAGACATCCTTTAGGTAAAATGTGTTGTGTATGGATTCCAACAGCGCGGAAAAGGGAAAAAAAGCTTTCGCTTATCCCAAGAAAAACAAAACAAATTAAAATAATCAATTCACATCATATATATATATATATATATATGATGTGAATTGATTATTGACCGAATTCATAATTAAAATTATTTATTTGATTCAGTCAATGTGATGTTCTTTTTACTTTCTTGTCCTCCTTGGAATGCATGTCTCGCAATTTAGGAATGAATACCGAAAGATCGTGTCGCGTTTTTTTTAATTTATACAATTTCCTCGCGGATCTCCCAGCTGGGTACAGCGAAAAAGTGGAGAATCGCGTATACGTTCGCAAATATTTGTCGTTCCGGGTATACGATGGACACGGTAAACAAGCTTCGCGCCGCCGAGTATGTCGAGTACAATTATCGCGTCGTCATTAGGTCAGTCGTGCGAAACAGCACACACATATATGTCGAGAGAGAAATCCATTTATTTCACCGGACATCGAAACACGTGAATTCTACAAGAACGTAGAATGCTCTGAGGATTTCGGAAAAAAATTTCAATATCCATGAAGCAATAGCGATCCAGGGATTTTGCACAAGGATGCTAATTGAACTGAAAACGACTATGGGGATTGATATTATGAAAATAGAGGGGACAGTGTCTGCGGGAGGCTACGATAAGATTCATAAAAATAGAATAATACCCATCTCCTGGAGGATTGTTGTTAAATATAGTCTTACTCGGAGCTGACCAATTAACCTTCCACCAACGCTCAAGCTGTCGCGTATTTGTTTACAAAGTTTTACATTAGATACTTGAACCGTGGTATAAAATTTCTCGGCAAATGCCACTGATTCGTAATTAATTTTTTTTTAAAAGAAGTATCTAATTTTAACTCTGAAAAATCGACTGAAAAATCATTTAATGCAAAAAGAATTCGGTAAAAGGTTTGTAAAAGGTGTGTAAGCGAATGATATATTTAAGCCTTTTAATAATTTGCGAACATTTGCGTCTCTTATCGTTTGGACCACTTCGCATGCACAGTGATTGCCTCCATCTTTCGCTGAATTAATTTACGTCTGCTGTGCAATCAGGATCGTAAACGAGAAAGTCGCTCGGATCTACTTCAACCGATAAAATGAGCCGTTTCAAGTTTATCAGCAAGCAACGCACGTTAAATCGGGAATACAATAGCATTCCCCGAAATACGAATTTATTAAACATAAGACGTCACGCATCCAAAATCTATTTTTCTCTTCCCTTTCCTTTTTCCCCTACTACTGACTATTCTATTTGAATCTCGATGAAAATTCCATTCTACGTTTTATCACCTACGATCGACCGTCAACGACAGAGAGAGAGAGAGAGAGAGAGAGAGAGAGAGAGAGAGAGAGAGAGAAAGAGAGAGAGAGACTGTCGCGACCCGTGGAGGATACACGAAGAAGGGATGGAAAAATCGCGGTGCGGATCTCGCGCCGTCGGCCCGGTCGATGCGGGACTTGAAAAAAGGGGAGGGGATCCAGTCAAAACAAGGCTTACCAGGTCGTCGAGCAGTTATTATGACGAAGGCCTTCACCTGCTCACGCGGACGACGGCACCACTACTGATAACACAGTCAAGCGGCCGACGCCTCCGGAGCGCCGAACGCCCAGCGCCGACGCCGTCGCCTCCAACGTCGACGTCGACGTCGACGTCGACAACGACGCCGACGCCGATGCTGACATCGCCCATCCGTGGGTAGGGGTAGTTATGATACGTCGATGTTATCTACATAACGATACGGATTTGCATTATAATACCCAATACTTTTTATACATATATACTCAATGAAATATATATACACACATAATATATATATATCTATCTATCTATATATACACATATATATATATATATAATATCATATACATAATATTACATATATTTATATTGTATATATATATATATATTAAATATATTATATTGTATGTATATAAGACTAAAATAAACAATAATTGTTTCAGGATCATAGATCAGGAAAACTTTGATAATCCAAAAAGGATGGCGGACTAAAGAGTTCGAGGCATTCTTGTAGTATACAGTTAATAATTTATAAAAAATCGAACGGTATACACGGGTAGGGGATGTTAAAGGATATAACAACGAATGTACAATTTACTTCCCGTATAATTATATATATATATGCATATATATAATTATTAAATAATAAACTAAATCGTCACACGCTACTTTTAACTTCGGCGGATCGTAAAATGAGAAAAGAACTACGCCGGAGAAATTCGTTTGGCAGCATGACAAAGTACGAGTAGTACGATTATTTTACAATATTCATTTGTTTATTTCTTAACACTTGCTAGTGCTATTATTTATCATTATTTATTTTATTTTGTTATAGAGTCCTTTATAGGCGAATTTATACGCCTCGAACGATCGATTCGTATTTTACATTAGCGCGAAATCATTCTGTCCTTTCCTATATTTTTTTTTACAATTACTTAATTCAATTGCAATTCAAACAATATTTTAATTGCAATGTTCGTCGACTGTTCGAAATTATTTATTACGCTTTTACTCATCGCAAAGTTTAATTTTACAATGCGAATTAACAATATGTCATCGTCTAAGGAATGACATAGTGACATAATATAATTTTTTTCACGAGTTTTGTTATTATTCCCTCTTCGTTTGTTTTATGCCTGCAGGTGATTAAATTACAGGACCGCATTACTTATCACCACAAAATATCTTCGTTTAGCGACATTCAGCCTGCAAGCATCTTCATTTATTATATTACTTATACTGCAAATGCAAAATTGCACTTATTTAATTCCATTTCTATTGCATATAATTATTCGTAACTAATATTTTTCAAGATTTTCTAAAGATGGTATTTTTTTTTTAAGGTAAGAACACTTGCGTATTGCGATATTTCGATATAGAAATTGAAAGAATGCAGAAACATAATTAAAAAAAAAAATATATTTTATACAAACTTCATCAAAAAATAGTCGATTTCTTCTACTTCAAGTCAACTGTTTTCCTCTAACATAAGATTCTTTTTTGCACTGCGCGCTCTCTCTCTCTCTCTCTCTCTCTCGCTCTCGTTCTACTTGCATTTACCACATAATTGCGAGATATGAAAGCGAGTAAAATACAGCGGACACTCTCATTAGTATCTTAGAATAAAAGAAAAGCTCGATCCCACGATTCTAGAATAGAGGAAATCGACTGTGATCGTCATGCTGATGCTATTCAATGAATTACTGCTATTGTGAAAAAGATTTTCCTATTGAACAAATAAATCTCATAGATTAAAACTGTTGTAGATATAACACAAAATAGTAAAAAATTACATATTATTTACTGGACGAGTTGAAGAAATTGCTTAATCCAAATGGATACGCGCAACAAAAACGCAAGTCTATATGATGAAGCTACCGATGGTAAATATAACCAATAATAATAACAATAATTATACAATCTATCATATTTAAATGTGTCAGTGTCTTTCATTAAGGCTGTCACTGCTGCATAAGTAGATCTTGAATCACGCGACATGTCCCAAAATATCCCGAATGACCCATGATCGTTTAATGAATTATAACGGATCGCACAATTTTTTAATTACGCGACTATTTTATGATGATTCCATCACCCCATGATTAACACTTCCGGCAGGAGTTGGTCTCATGCACAAATTCCTTAAGTTGGTCACTCCTTCACCTGCGTCTTGAGATGTTGTAAGAACTCGTAGTAACTAAGAGCAGATTCGAATCGATCCTCTATCAATCGTTCGACGAATAACGTTCTAAACTGGCTATCGTCCCTAAAAAACAATTTGTCACATTAAAATACGTATATTGTGTTGAAAATATCAGGTAAATTCATTACGAAAGTTAAAGGAAATTTATAATTTCTGTCAACACATATCTAATCACTTACACATTTATTTGTATTATTCTAAAACAATTGACTTACCTGATAATTTGTACAGGTACGTAGTATGGTTTTTCCTCTTGTAAACTAAATACAAAGTTTCGCAACCGTTCGCTTTCTACTGTATCCAATTCCGGTAATTCGTACTGCAAGACAAAATTAAGACTGATTATGAAATTAAATTTTTATCATAACGGCTGTGATTAAAAATTCGATAAGTTTTCGATTTTTAGCTGCGGATGTATAACCGAGAAAAAGTAATAAAACATTTACCATTTCCTCTGGAATAGATGTAAATCCCGAAGTGCCGAATATATTTGTACAGAAAATCGGATTGATATTCTTGCCAATGTAAATAAAGATTCTATCGCCAGCATCCATAAGAAAGATGCCTCGGCTGTCGAGTTTTTCAGCAGATAAATTAAGCCGAGGCGGCTGTGGACATACTTTACCGTCAATGTCTCTTGCATTGCGGTCATCAAGCATGAAAACAGGGTACAAATCAGGATAAACCACCTGTATCAGCTGTGCTAATGGTAATGTCTTTAATTGAAACATAGCGAATATGCGATCATCCAAACGCGTACTCGTGCCGGATCTAAATGCTATCTGTAAATTCAAAATAAAAATATTTTAATGACAATATCTACAATATATTTAAATAGAAAATGTGTGTAAATTTATTGATAATTTACGCTTTTCAACAATGCGATAATGTATAATGGCAACAGCTTTAAACTTCCTGGAGCAATAAGTCCTCCGCCGCTGGAAGATTGTGCCAGTTTGTACGCGGATAAGATGTCAATAGCAACGTTTATTAATGCTTCTCTTGCATCTGATAAAGATGACTGAAGCGATCGATCGACAGCTATAGAGATATTTAAAGAAATGTCTCTTAATATTACTTAATTATGGAAGAGTTAACAAATAATTATTAAACTTTTACATTACGCTGCATAAGGATTTATAGTCCACAGCAACGAGTTTTATTTACCCATTTTTGATAATAAACCGACTATGCATTGTTGATCTGCAGAATGCAATACATCCGATAGACTTGCCACCACAGGCAGGCATAGAGTGTGTACTCTAATTCTTCGCTCACCTTTAAATAAAAATATAAAAAATATGAAACATTACATGAAGACACTAAAAGGACAAGAATAATTACCTTTGCTTGAAGTATACAAAAGAGACGCTTGGAAGCATACACTCTGCACATCGGAAAGATTTTCATCGATGGAGATTTGCATGCCGAAACCGGCGTCCGGATTAATATTTGGCAAGCAGAGAAGATCAGTCGATCGAACGAAGAAGCTGCCATGGAAGGCATGAATACTGAGACCACGAGTACAACGAAGCCGCATCACCGCTTCAAAGCCAATCTTTCTCGTCAAATAACGACGAAGTAATCTTTCTAAAGTTTCACTATTCTGTAACTTCGATGCTCGGAACAGTGGTAGATGGTAAATACAACCGCCCGTAAATTTTGACATGCATGCTGTGGAATAAGTAAAACATCGAATGTTACAAGAGATATTTATCAATGTTAAAAAAATATATAATTAGGTATATTACGAAAAAAATTACAATTATTAAATTAATTATTTGCAAATTCACAATACAAAATTATTATAATCATATTCAATCGAGATAGATTCACTTACATAAAGTTGCCAGATCGCTGTATTGACTATTCAATAAGAATAGATCAATTGCAATGTGGTGTCCACTGCAATCCAGAGCATATCTTTTATAGAAATCTGTTGCGGGATTAAGATGTGGCACGTCTTTGTTCACTCTAGTACTGGGATCTTCTCTCGGGTGCAAGGCCCCCGGACCAATATTAGGCAAACACGTTTGAAAAACGGTGATACGTCCTCCGACACCAGCGAGGAGTTTGTAGGCAGCTTGAAGACCAGCACCAAGAGCGCTATTAGTATCATGAGTGCCACAGAATTTGATAGGAAGTTGAGCGAGAAGATCACGAACAAGCTCCTCACGTTCTTTCAGATTTACAATTAGGTTTTCTGGGCACGGTAGAAACACATCGTCGATATCTAGCATGACCATTTCGTGTGGTTGCGAGACGTTATCGGGCATGCTGAAGAAGTGCAGAGTAGAATCAACAGCAAGAAAACCGATTTGAGTGCGGCTGTCGCCGGGGAGACGCGACAGTTCATCGGTGATCGTATTGCAAACTATCTGCAAATATCCGCTTTCTACCGCAAGACGAGAAACATCCATGACAAAGAGATAGATAGCGGGCTGAGGCGGACGGACCTATAATTCACAGTATGTTAATACTAAATCTCTCGAGGTATCATAAACAGATATAACAGGTATATAATATTATAAACAGGTACATAATTTTTATATAAATAAATAATTTGTAATTACGAATAAGTGATTATTTTACAGTAAACAAATATTAACCATGTACTCGCTTGGCGCAATAAACTCTATCGTGCCGGTTTTCACTTCCGGCCGTCGTGATGGATCGCCGTACGATTTCGTCACAGGATCGAATTGAAATTCTTCGGGAACTACACAAAACGTAAACATCTAATTCTTGTTATGTAATATTAAGCAATAAATATAAAAAATTTCAATATGTTCATTACGTTCATTTAATCTGAAACAGAGATTGCATTTCCATCTTTTCGAATCGACGAAGTACACAAATGGGTTGATATATGTTCGGCAAGCTCGACAACGCACGATCGTATTGCATTGAATCACTGCTAAATGCTGCTGCGACAAATAATAAAAAATTTTACTAAAGTTTATTTCTATATGATTTTCTAAAAAGTGAAATAGCATGTTCTTCTGTCTATATATTTGTTGTATATTTTAAATTCTAAACATTATTTTACATGTACATTACTTACGTTTAGATCCTTAAAAGGATGTATTAGTACGCCGAATGGTAATCTTGATTTCTGTAGAAGCGAATTTGATTCTGGGACTTTTGTTAATGTACACCTGAATATGCTGTAAACATTTCACATACATACTCTTAATAAGAGTTATATTTATATATTGAAATAGTTTTAATAACAAGAGTTCTAAATTTTTCAAATCTTTGATTCGGGTTTTTATTGTGGATATTTTAATTTCTGTATAATAGAAATGTAATTTAATATCTTAAATAAAAAAGAAAACTTACTCAGGACTACAATTTACGGAATCCAGGAATTCCTGATTTAACTTGATCTTTGGTGGTTCGACTTTTTCAGGTGGCAGTATATTTCGACATTGCAAGAGATCTATCGATTCCATCCCCTAAAAATGATATTAACGTATTAAAGAATATTATATATATAATTGTATATGTATTATATATATAATTGTATATATTTCAATAAAAATAATTACCCATATTTTGTTGTAGCCAACTTGTGTGACGTTCAAATTGCTCATCTGATTATTTAATTGATTTAATTGGTCTGGATACATATTAGGATACCTTTTATTAGACGAATCTAATGGTACGTTTGTCATTGGGCTAGGATATTGCGACCGAGAGTCGTACTAAAAAAAAACAAAAATTAAACTCTGTATATTAATGTTGCAAAACATCACTTTTTGAAGAAAATA